TCAGCGGGATTATAATCTGTATGAATCTTGTCCACAACACAATCACCTTTTTCAATGATATCCCGCACAAAATGATAACGAATATCAATATGCTTTGTTCGGTCATGAAACATTTGATCTTTACTCAAGAAGATAGCACTCTGGTTGTCACAGAAAACTGTGGTCACCTTTATTCTATCATCGAGTTCTCCGAATAACCCCTTCAACCAGATATCTTCCTTAACTGCTTCTGTAATCGCCATGTACTCTGCCTCGGTAGAAGACAGGGCAACTGTAGACTGTAACTGGGCTTTCCAACTAACATCACAACCATTTAGTGTAAACACATACCCTGTAATTGATCTTCGTTTATCCAAATCTTTTCCATAATCTGAATCAACATATCCGAACACCCCAGTGTTAGATTTGCCAAAACGTAAACACATGGAAGACGTACCTCGTAAATAACGAAAAATCCACTGTACTGCTTTCCAGTGTTCTTTCCCCGGGTTCGCCATGTATCTACTAACCATGCTAACAGCATAAGCCAAATCAGGGCGTGTGCAGATCATAGCATACATTAAAGATCCAACAGCACTAGAGTATGGAACACGTGCCATGTAAGCCATATCAGTCTCATTAGTAGGACTAAAAGCGGATGATAGCTTGAAATGAGCTGCAAAAGGTGTGTTGACAGACTTTGCTTCGTGCATATTGAAGCGTCTTAGGACTTTCTCAATATAACTTTTCTGAGAAAGATGCAAGATCCTAGACTTCCTGTCACGAATAATTTCCATACCTAAAATCTTTTTGGCAGCTCCTAAGTCCTTCATTTCAAATTCAGCTTTCAACTGGTCTTTTAACTTCTGAATCTCCTTCATATCTTTTGCTGCAATCAACATGTCATCCACGTACAAGAGTAAGTAGATCTTTGAACCATTGTCACCTTTCTTGAAATAAACGCAGCTATCATAGGTGCACCTGCTGAATTTGTGACTGGTCATGAAAGAATCGAACCTCTTGTACCATTGTCTAGGAGACTGCTTGAGGCCATAAAGAGATTTGTTCAACTTGCATACGTAGTTCTCCTTTCCAGGAACTACAAAACCTTCAGGTTGTTGCATAAAAATCTCTTCCTCAAGCTCACCATTTAGGAAAGCTGTAGTGACATCAAGTTGTTCTAACTCAAAATCGTTAGAAGCAACCAACCCCAACAATACACGAATGGAAGTATGTTTGACAACTGGGGAATAAATTTCAGTGTAATCAATACCAGGAATCTGACTGTAGCCTTTAGCTACTAACCGAGCTTTGTATCTTGGTTTATCATTTGGGTTGACAGGTTCCTTGAGCTTATAGACCCACTTGCATTTAACTGGTCTCTTCCTTTTCAGAATAGGAACTAAATTCCAAGTACTGTTTCGCTGCAAGGATTCCATCTCATTTTGCATAGCGAGCATCCAATCATTTGAGTCTTCAGATTTGATAGCCTCGTCATAATTCGCAGGCTCCGTTGCGTACTCAATATTATCAGCAACAATAAAAGCATAGGCAACTAAATCAGATTCAGCATACCTCTTCGGAGGAATAATCTGTCTTCTCGGTCTATCTCTTGCAATGCTTGGAGTAGTAGCTTGTGGTTGTGAAGGTGTTGAATCTTCACCAACAACATGCTCATCCGACGAAGAAGAATCTTGATGCTGATTTGTACTCTGATTAGTGGTAGGTGAAGTAGGAAGCTCCACCTCCATTTGAGCATACTCTTTATTTTCTTCGGATGATACATCTGATGCATCTGTTCTTTTAGAAGAGTCAGCAACTGGTTGAATCATAGCAGACTCATCAAAAGTAACATCTCTTGAGATGATAATTTTCTTCAAATCAAAGCTCCATAATTTGTAACCCTTTACACCTTGATTGTACCCAAGAAAAACGCATTTGATTGCTCTTGGTTCTAGCTTCCCATTGTCAACTCGTGCATACGCTGGACATCCGAATGGTTTTAAATCTGAATAATTGGCAGGTTTACCGGACCATAACTCAAACGGAGTTTTCTTCTCGATTGCTCGTGACGGTGATTGGTTGATAACATAGCAAGCAGTCGAAGCAGCCTCCGCCCAAAAAGACTTTGGTAATTTGGAATTAGAAAGCATACACCGGACCTTCTCCATAATGGTGCGATTCATCCTTTCAGCTACACCATTTTGTTGAGGTGAATGGACTACTGTGCGATGTCGAGTAATGCCTTCCTTTTGACAATAGACATTAAACTCTTCTGAGCAAAACTCAAGTCCATTATCCGTACGAAGATACTTTACCACCAGACCTGATTGCTTTTCAACCTGAACTTTCCAATTTCTGAAGGTATAGAAAACGTCTCCTTTATGTTTTAAGAAGAAAGACCACACCTTCCTGGAGAAATCATCAATAATAGTGAGCATATAAATATCTCCACCTTTTGAAGCAACTCGAGCCGGTCCCCACAAATCCGAGTGAACATAATCAAGTGGTCCTTTCGTTGTATGGATGCCACTTGCAAACCTCACTCGTTTTGCCTTGCCATATACACAGTCTTCACAGAAATCCAAATCAACAATCTTTTGTTGACCAAGTAAACCTCTTCGACTCAATTCTGACATGCCTTGAAAACTCATATGGCCGAGTCGAAGGTGCCAAAGACGGGACTGATCTAGATCAGAAAAAGACTTTGAAACAACAGCAACATCACTCGAAATTGTTTGCCCGTCAAGAAAGTAAAGATCTGAGGTTTTTCGTTTGGCTCTCAGTTTGTCGGAGCCGTCTTTGAATACCCTGAGAACTCCACCTTTACCATCAAACTCGTATCCCCTTTTGTCAAAGGAACTGAGAGATAACAAGTTTCTTCTGAGGTCAGGAACATATCTAACATCCCCCATGGTTCGAATAACTCCGTCAAACATACGGATCCTGACTGAACCATGTCCAAGAACTGGACATGTAGTATTGTTACCCATCAACACATAGCCCTGGTTAACCTTTTCAAATGTGTAAAACCAACTTTTGTTGTGACACATATGAAAAGTACAACCAGAGTCGAGTATCCAATCACCAGTGGAATCCAGTTTATCTGAATAAACTGTCAAAAGTTCTCCAATACCTTCCACCTCAGCTACATCGGCTTCACCCGAAGTGCTAGCTTGTTTACCATTTGCTGCCGTCTTCTCTTTTTCTTTATTCTTCAACTTGAAGCATTCTTCAAGCACATGTCCCTTCTTGTGACAATAGTTGCAAAACTTTCGTTTGCCTTTTGATTTGGATCTGGTTCTGTTGGAAGATTGAGAAGTTCTACTTCTCTCTGTTGTTCTTCCTCTGGCATTCAAACCTTCGGCTTTAGCATCACTTGAAACACCACCAGTAATATGCTTCATCTTCTCTTTGGAATCCAAAGCTGTATAGACTTCATCTAAAACTAAAGTGTCACGGCTATAGATAATAGTATCACGAAAATGGCTATAGGATTCTGGCAACGACGACAGTAAGAATAAAGCCAAGTCTTCATCTTCATACTGAACATCCATATTCTCTAAGTTATTTACTAACTCTTTAAATGTGGATATATGTTCAGTTAAAGAGCCTCCTTCAATCAACTTGAGATTGAACAACCGTTGCTTCAAATGCAACTTGTTTGGTAAGCTCTTGGTCATCAACAGTTGCTCCAACTTTAGCCATAAAGAAGCCGCTGACGTTTCTTTTAGAACATCTTGCAAAACATCGTTTGACAAGTGCAAACGAATATGGGATAAAGCCTTCAGATCTTTCATCTCCTTTTCTTCTTCGGTCCATGTATCGGGCATCTTATTGAAACCCAAAAGCGCCTTGTGTAAATCCATCTGAATGAGAATGTCTCTCATCTTTACTTGCCACAACGGAAATCGTGTGTTACGATCCAGTAGTGGAATATCGTATTTTACCGAAGACATGATTAATTACTTGATAAAATGATCCCAATGAGCTAATATTACAACCCGGATGCTCTGATACCAATTGTTGTGAAATACGACGGATCCAAATTGACTTAAATAATATTAGCTCAATGCGGAATGGGATCAAAAATTATCAAAGCGTAATAATCACAACGAAATACGAATAAAATAAATAGAATAGAGACACATGAATTTACGTGGAAACCCAAATCGGGAAAAAAAACCACGGGCGGAGGAAGCCGAGAAACAATTCACTATAATTTGCAGTGTTTACAGGGATTATGAAAGAGATTACAAATAGAGTGAGAGGGCTAAAATATATGGTGGTGTATCAGTATATATATATATATATATATATATGTAAAGTTTTACTATATATATATATATATTTGATTGTTGGGTTAATTTTGTGGGTTAAGTCTCTCTGGCTATTTATAGCCAAAGAGGAGAATATAAATCTAATGTGAAAACAAAAATGCCATCCAAAAAACTGCTGCGCCTCCATTCCGTCCAATTCATTTTCAATTTCATATTAGATTACTATTAATAGTCTAACTATGAATAGTAAATGATAAGTTACGGAAATAACCCCTGAACTATTTGCCACTTGCTAATTTTGGAGGCAACTTTTCCACAGTAATAAAAAAACTTCGTTAAAAATATAACCCATAAACCATCACATGTAACATGCACAAAAACCATCCCTACAAAACTTCTGACGTTTCTAACCAATATTTTGTTCTTATTATATACAAATAAAAGAGATTTTTGTATAAATCGAAATCCAAACCTCCCCTGAATACTTCCCGGGCAGCCAATATATTCCCAATTTTCACGCTAACTGACACTCGATTCTCTCTCTCCGATGCTTATTAAGATCTGATCAATCAAAAGATCAATTTTAATCCAAGTCGCCGACTTTAATTTTAGCTTAAATCACAAGTTTTTATCGATAATCTGTTTAGATTTGCTACACAGTTGCAGTCAATTCTGTATTATCAAATCATGCTCATGCCCATGCTCTGTTATTTCGATTAGGGTTTTTCAGTTTCAAGGAAAATGTCGGAGAAGGAAGAGAACGGAGGTGATTGCGGTGAAGATGACGATGAGTGGAGAGATCTGATCGCGACTCCTAACCGTTTAATTTCCGACGACTTTTTTGTTTTGAAGTCTGAAAAATTAGATGATCGTGAGGAAGATATCGGAAAAGGTAACGATGGAAGTAGTTCCGAGGATAGAGATAGATTTCGGGGTAGAAGAGTTAGTATTGCAGAACGAAGGGCTGCAATGCGTGGTAATTCTGATACCAATGCTTCAAGTATCAGAGTTTCAGTCTCTTCTTCACGAGTTACTGCTTGGCCTCCAATTCTTACAATACCTTGTGGTATCAGTCCCACTTCATTGCTCGATTCTCCAGTTTTGCTCCCTAATTCTCAGGTAATGTAAAGCAATTCTCCAATTTAACCTGATTAAATCATGATTTTGATGTTTACTATTTCGTGTTTTTTCATTTCATAGGCATCGCCTACTACTGGATCCTTTCAATATCCTCCTCCTCTGAATCAAGAAGAAATTTTAGGCATGAAATCAGAACTTGACGACATGAACTGTGACACTAGTTCTTTTCTATACCAGCCTGATGGGGGTTCACTATCATGGCCAAGCTTTTCACAAGTACAAAATCAGGTGAACATTATGTATGTAACCCTCTTTTCATGTTTATCATAATTCTTTTGACCCGATTTCTAAAGGATTTGGAGCTAACATTACCATGCACAGCCGCCATTAGTGTGTGAACATCCAGGGGCATTAATGGAAGAAACAGTCACAAAAGGGTCCTCCGATGGCTTTAAAGTTCCAAAAAGTACAATTGGTGGTGTAAAGCAAGATGATGATTCAAAAAGACATATGGATGGATACCAAAAAGAAACGAGCTTTTCTAACATGAGGAACTCAGAAGATGGATATAATTGGAGAAAATATGGACAAAAGCAAGTAAAAGGCAGTGAATACCCTCGAAGCTACTACAAATGCACACATCCAAATTGTCAAGTCAAGAAAAAAGTGGAACGTTCCCATGATGGGCATATTACTGAAATCATATACAAAGGTACTCATAATCATCAAATTCAAGGTCATCGCAGCAACATTAATGGATCTCCAGACGCTAATGGATCCTACGTCAAGATCGAAGAAAGGGATAACATTTCAATTCGTCCAGATTGGAACACAGATCGTATGGATCGCTCATCTTCAACCTCAGTTGTCACCGATAATCCTGACCTAATTTCAGGGAAATCCGTTGGAATTATCGAAGCAAACCCTAATTACGATTATAAGGAAGAAGATGGGACGAACATAGGTACACATTCACCTGGAGATGGAGACGACGCCGATGACGATAAATCCGAATTGAAAAGGAGGTGCGTTGATGCACTCTCTCAGTAGGTAGTAATCCTTTTGTTTATACATGAAAATTTTCGCAAACCGATCTCCTGATGAACGTCGTTTCAGGAAGAAAGGGAATTACTTACTGGAAACAAGTTTGGTAACCAGAGCTATGCGTGAACCAAGAGTAGTCGTTCAAATCGAGAGTGAAATTGATATTCTTGACGATGGTTATCGCTGGAGAAAGTATGGTCAAAAAGTCGTCAAAGGAAACCCAAACCCTAGGTAATGAATTAACTGACTTTAAAATTTCAAAATTACGTTTATTCAGTTAAGCAACACAGTTTGATTCATATACTGTTTCTTGTAGGAGCTACTACAAATGTACGAGTACCGGATGTCCGGTGAGAAAACACGTGGAAAGAGCTTCTGACGATTTAAAATCAGTACTGACAACGTACGAGGGAAAACACAACCATGAAGTGCCAGCAGCTAGAAACAGTAGCCATGCCACCATGGACGTGGGGCCCACCTCAAATGCTCCACCTATACCATTATCTAGAATTCCTACCATCCCCAACTCCGAACCACAAGTTCAAGATCTTCCTCTTCGTTTTGATCGAAAAATTTCCAATGGATATATTCCGTCAAATTTCGTTTCTAATTTCGACACTAAACCTACGAAATTTGAACCTTCATCTATGTATCAGGAATATATTCCTTACCAAAATCCAATAACTTTCAATTCAGTGTTACCCGATTTTCCTATTTCGTTACCAATGAGTATGCCACCTTCGGGAAACATGGCTCATAATTTTGGTTATAATAATAATGGAAAACGTGGACGCGAGTCTTTTATAGGAGGACAAATGCAACATTTGAGAGACAATAATGGTAGATTCATTAGACCGAAACTGGAGCAGGATGATGGTTTTTATGACACTTTTATGTGTGCCCCGGATCATGTAAACGATGCTGCTTCGAGATATTGTCGCGTGATTCCTAATTTCCCTTCATAAGTAGAAACAAAATTTTGAAAAAGAATTCTTTTATAGTTAGAGTAGGACATAGTTTCCTGCTTTATAGGTTTGTTATTTGTTGAAGTGAAGGAATTATTAAACCCTTCGTATCCATAAAATGTGTTTTTGTGCATTTTGCACAAGATTTAGTTGTTTATTTCCATTGAATTTAATCAAAATAGCAATTCTTTGAAAATGCATTTATATTGATGGTTTTTACTTTGTAGTTGAATCGTGCATTGCATTTTATTAAGGATAATAGGCGTTAATGTTATGGATTCTGTCATGAACTAATTTGGTTGGTTTGTTGAATACACCGTTGTGTGATGGACAACTACTCGTTAGGGTTTATGATTTCAAATTTCAATTGTAGTTTTGGCTTCATTTTAATTTTGTCAAATTTCCGTTACAACTATTCAAAATAAAAGATAGATGTATCAATAAAGTATGATTGAATAATAACTGGATGATCGATTTGATTTTAATTGAATATTCACATTTTGGAATTGATTAACTCCAATGATAATAGGATATACGATATTGGTCGGTCGGTTTTAGGCGGATTTACGAGTTTTATTTGAATAAGATAATCTATTGTATGAGTGGGGCATCATCTATTCAGATAACAAGCACAAATACCATGTTGTGGTTCACTCTAATTCCCTCTTCAAGTTGTTGATGTTCGTAGGTAGGCGACTGGTCAGTTTTGTATCACTTTAATTAGCTATTATTTTGCTAAAAAAACATTCTATTCGACTTGGGAATGATTCTATTTGGTTGTTTTATTATTATTCATATAGGTGTGGCATAGTGCAAAAAAGATTGGAAATATACATAAATAAGTAGCAATGGGAATGCGTTGGACAATTTGGCTACGTCTCAATATGTTGATCATATCTTAATCCTCCTACCTATCATGAATATGATTTAAAATGTTATATAAAAAAAGATAAAAATATCTACAAGTTTGTTATTTTGAGTTTTTCCGATTCTACCTATTCATATGATCATTAGGTTGGAGGGTGTCATGGTTATACCATGGCAAAGACGATTCTACCTATTCATATGATCATTAGGTTGGAGGGTGTCATGGTTATACCATGGCAAAGACGCTCCACCTTAATTCCACATAAGATTGCAGTATGGTATCCATTTTGAAACCATGGGTCAGGTATGGTGGAGAGAGAGAGAGAGAGAGAGAGAGAGAGAGAGAGACGGTGCCAATGAGGTCCAGTTCAATTCGGCGGATGCACACTCTGGTTTTTCTCTCCTAGGAGTTTCTAAGGTAATTGTATCGAGTTCTATTCGTGTCTAAAGCGGTGGAACCCCTTAATGAGAAGCTGAGTTACTAAGGATGGTGTTGTTATCTCTTCGAGGAGGGATCGAACCCGGGTTCGTTGGGTGCACTACAAATAATATGTCATTTAGTGACACACAAAAAGTGCCACTAAAAACCCAAAAAAATGTAACTAAAGGCTTCTCAGTGAATGAGCGCACACATAATAAGTGCCTCTAGAAACACTCTCACTAAAAACCTTTAATGACATTTTTTGTTTTTGCCGCTACAGTTTTTTTGGCTTTTTGTGTCACTTTTTTATTTGTCACGGTAGAATAAATATTTTTTGTGGCACATATTTTATGCCACTAAATACTAATTCAATTCTAAAATTTTTGTTGTTTTAGTGGCACTTTTTAATTGCCACAATAAAATAATTTTTTTTTGTGGCACATATTTTGTGTCATTAAATACTAATGTAATTATAGAATTATACTACTAATAGTAACACATTTTTTAGCTATAATATAAAATAAAAAAACGAATTAAATATAGTCGACGAAAAATAATAAAAATTTCTTTGTTTTATATCAAAGTCAAAAAAGTTTAAATGTCGAATCACATAGACACTAAATATAAAAAATAACTAAACAAAAGTAACAAAAAACTTTAAACTTCATTGCAACTGAACATCTTCACCAAACTTCATGTATCTTGAATAACATCGTATAGAACCAATACTAGCAATTCACTATCAAATACACAAATGAAAATATCAAGTTTTATTGTAATTTTACTTGGATATTAATTACCTCCTTAAACATGAGACCTAAGATGTTATGGTAACCAGATAATATCCAAACAACAACCTAGACAACCTTTATTTTATAACTTGTGTTATATATAAGGATATTTTAGTAAAAATTGGACATGATCAAACTGGGAATATATATATATATATATATATATATATATATATATATATATATATATATAATACAAAATGGGTCATAATATGTTTTACATATTCAAACAATGAGGTGAAAAATGCCTTAACTGGTTCACAACACTTCGCCAATAGGCTCTTTGCCAATAGGCTTAGCTGCATCAATATGACAACAAGTTTAGTAAATTGTTACAAAGTTACACATTTGACCCTTGAATATCAAATATTAACTATTTTAGGACAAAAAAGTGATAATATTACATTTCAGACCACTTTAGAGTTGTAATATTTGATAAAAGGGTAGGATGGGTACAATAAGTATGATTCTAGCAAATTTGGACGGTTGTTGCTTGATTAATCCCATTAAGTCAAATTCATCTAATTTGTAGTGTATATAGTATATTAGAAGTAATTGCTTACCTTCTTTTGTGTTAAAAATTCTCCATTCACGCTTTTGAGAAGCCATTCCCGATCCTATAACAATCCTGAACGGAAAATTCATATGAAAACATACAGGTTAGTGAAAAATGACAAAACTACCCTTGATTATATAAAAAATTAACAAAAAGAACATGCAACTTACAACTCTCTAACAATACTTTTATAGTGTGTAATGACCTATAATTGAGTACAACAAAATAGTATATAACTTCAAAACAACAAAACAAAATTATATAATCCTTCTTATAATGGGCATTATTAGTAATTAATCCCTAAAAAACAGCATACAGGTCCTTGTTTTCTGGGCCAAATATATCATATGCCTTCCATAAAGTATCCTATAAGATTACAAAATTAAAACGATGAAAGGTTTGAGGTCATTTTGGGATGAACAAAGTCAAGAAAGCTTATGCTTACACATATATCCTTTGTTTGCTTCTATGAGTTTAATTCCTTCGCATTTGCTAAAAATGCACCAAATTACTCATATGATAATGTGCCCCTAACGAAAGTAAAAAAAAGAGTGATAGATGATTAGCAGCAATAATAAGAACGAGTTGAATGGAAAAAATGCTAATGAGGGGTATATAGGTAATTTTACCTCACTTGTCTGAATTTTGTTATACCATCTACACGAGTGCATCATGCAACAAGCATAAAGTAGTGCACATCAGTGTCAACAACAAAATCGATCCTTGAAATAAGTTGGAACAACCAAACCAAAGTGCTAAAAGCTCAACATCTCATAACTACAAATTACCCAACATATGCATATATCACTACTACCACCACCATGTATCTTTATTACATTGGCTATAAGTTTTGGTGTATGTACCCCATTCCTTCGGCTGCATTTAATGCTTTGTGAATATCTCCCTGCAACAAACAAGTTAAGTTTAATAATAAACTCACTCCATGTGATGCATAATAGAGAATAAATATGCATGTAATATTGTTACCTGAATGGATAATGGTGAAGTAGTTAGCCCATAAAGACCTATGACTCGACCTTCTTTATCACCTAGAAACATGGTAAAATTCCAATTGATGCTTGACCCAATAAACACCCTGTTTCTATGCTTTAGGAAACTTGTACACATGTGATGCTTTTGGTCTATTAACACAAATCTTTAAAAAAGATATAGCTGATTAGAGACATTTTCACCATTCAAACTTCAAACTTCAATTCATTTATGAAAATGAGTGATTTATGGTTCAAAACACATGTATTTTTTGTAAGGATGACTGAAAACTCACCTTCTAGAAGATGTGATATGTGGCGTTAAACCTTGTGCCTGCAAATTGTTCCACTTTCTCGCTAGAATCATGCTCTTATTTTAGGAACTGATTGCAAGGAAATGCTAAGATCTCCAGACCTGATCATAGATATGTATTAACACATACTTTATATTTTGATTCTATTCTAGCTCACAAAGTAATATTATTGTTATGATATGAATGTAAAACAATTTGTGACATTATCATTTGTTTTTTGAGATTAGCCTCACAATGATAAATGATCAGACAAGATCCATTGAGCTAGATGGATATATAAGTATGTATTCACTATATGCTTAATTGATTGTCTACAATTGTCATATATGATTATTATTTGGAGTGAAGATAATTGGATGGAGAATATAATTTTGTATTATCGAAACTGACTAATAAGATAGATACAAAATTAGGTTTTTTTTTTGAAGTTTGAACTAATCAATTGATTGCCTATTTATCTAATACTGATTATTAACTTCACTTTAAAGCCTCGCATCCAAACATCGTTCTCTTCTGGTTGCGATAATCAATTTCGATGGTCGAAGTTAAGAAAAAAGAGTACCTGAGTGAAGTCGAGTGGAGAAGAGATGGAGATTCGTTGTTCGAAGTCTAAATCTCCGATACATAGTTGTGTAGTGTAGCAGCGATGGTGTTGTGAAGTCGGAGGTAGAGGTAGTGAGCAGCGATGACGTTATCCCGGTGGAGTTGATCGTACATTCGTATGAGAGAGAAAAGAGAATGATGGGATTGGGATAAAAAATTAATCGGTCTCTGCTCTCTAACGCATATGAAGTAAAAGGAAACATGTATAAGAGATAGGAAATGTCAAATTTCATATATACTTTTTAACAATAAACGCTAATTCATTAAGGATAGGGGAATAAGAAACATGAATTCAATATTTTAGTGGCACAAAAACAAACCATTCAAATCATATGGTAAAACTTTAGTGGCATATAAAAAAAATATATGACACAAAATATAAAGTTTTTAGTGGTATTTTAATTTTGTATGCCAATAAATAAACTTTAATATTAGTGACATAAATTTTTAAGTGCCATAAAAACTATTAATTTTATAGTGACATATAAAATATGCCATTAAAAACATACTATTGTGGCATAAAAAAGGTATGTCATTAAAAATGTGTGCCACTAAATGTCATTTTATTTCTAATGGTGTTATGGCATACTGTCCTATCGGATGTCACTGTCGCCTCGCCAAACCGTTGTTCAAAAAGAGAGGAGAAATGGTGGGAGAAGATATGTATAGAGAGAAAGAACTTGACAAAAAAACTAGCCAAACTCAACTCTACCACAACATGAACCGCACACCAGGGCGGTGTAGGTAGCGGTCTAGTTGGCGAAACGTGGTGCCTACCGCACTCACACTCCACAATCTTTTTGAAATTAGCTTGCAAGTCAAAGTCAGTATGTTGGTGGTTTAAAAATTAGAATGTAAGTCTAAGACCATCCCCCATGAGAGTTTCATGGAGGGATTAATGAGCCAAAAATGGTAATGGTCAACGGAATAAAGTTAGCATTGTATGTTAAATTTAATTTTTTTTTGGGAACGTGTAATGGAAATTGTTTTTTTTTTCTCAATTTAATATAGCAATTTATATTGAAAGTAACATTTGATTTTATTTTTGCAATAAACAAAGCATATATTATTATTATTATTATTATTATTATTATTATTGATTTATAATTTATTTTATTTTATATTAAATAATTTAAATTATTAATTTAATTTATATTTTTTTATTCTAAACAATAAAAAATATATAAACGTGTAATGGGAATTGTTTTTGTTTTTCTTTCTCAATTTAATATAACAATTTATATGGAAAGTATCATTTGATTAACAAATCATATATTATTATTAATTTTTTAATTATAATTTGTTTTATTCTATGTTCAATAATTTAATTTATATTTTTTTATTCTAAACAATAAAAAAATATATAAACGTGTAATGGAAATTGTTTTTTTTTCTTTCTCAATTTAATATAACAATTTATATTGAAAGTAACATTTGATTTTATTTTTGCAATAAACAAACCATATATTATTTTTTTTATGTATAATTTATTTTATTTTATATTCAATAATTTAATTTATATTTTTTTATTCTAAACAATAAAAAATATATAAATCTTAATAATATTTTAAAGAAGAAAATATAAAGAAATGAAGAGATTTCAATCATTTTCATGGATCTCAATACCACGTCGGAAGATGGACGTGAAATTTGGAGAAATCGTTGTGATGAGATTATAAAAACTATACAATATGTAGTAAAATTTGTGTTAGATATTGTACTTTTTATTTAATGTATTATGCATAACTTTTAATTTCTAAATTGTAATCCTTAATTAATATTTAGTAATCGTAACTTTGAATTCTAATTAATGTAATATTTTAGTTTTATTTATTAATATTACTAGGTGTAAGACTCATGTATTACATGGGTTCATTTAAAAAAATTAAATATAAAATTCTAAACATTTGAGAAGTTTGAATTTATAAAAAAAATTAGAAAAATATTGAATTATTAAAATTAAAGTGTTTGTTCTCTTTTAAATTTAAACGAATAATTGAGATAAATAAACAAAGAAAACTAATGGGCTTTAATTTAGAAATTTAGAAATTAGAAGGAAAGTCAATTAATGAAATTGAAATGCATTTATTATTATATTTATTACAATTAATAAATTTAATTAAATATTATGTGAAATTTAATAAAAATGAAACAACCACAAAATGCCATGTGGATAAAATTTAATTGAAAATAACCAAAAAATTACATGTGACAAAATCAATGTGAGTGTGACATATGAAAAAAAGTTCTTTATTTATTAGGAAGGATTTATATATATATATATATATATATATATATATATATATATATATATATATATAATAAAATATTGATGTGGCAATCCATTGAACTCTTAATAATTTAACGGAATTTAGAGGTTCATTTGATAGATGCTAACTGGGTTGGAGCTGACTGGTTACAAGTTCTGACTGAGTGAACTTTTCACTTGAACTTGCTGTTTGATTTTTTCATCTGACTGACTGTGCAAAATGACTATATTACCCTCAAACAATATTTTTTATAAAAAAAAAATCAAAATGTAGTAAAAAAAATAAAGAAATTAAAGATTTATAACTTTTTTTTTACTATTAGCTTGATATACACATGCAAATCTATTTTTATAAGAAATTGTAACATCCGTTTCCAGGTACTTTCACTTTCCGGCTAAAAATATCAAATATTTGCAAAATCAGCCCCTACGCACGCCGTACCTGATGGGTACGTTGGGCGTAGGTCACTTAAGTTGGACACGGATCTTGAAGAGTACGCTGGGCGTACTTGAGGATTACGCAGGGCGTACTCATGCAGACCATAAACCCTAAATTTTTAGGGTTTGGACCCTATTTAAAGGGCCTTAAGTCCTTGAGGCCTTCCTCATCACCAGCCCCCACTATCCCTAAGCACCATTTCGAAACCTTAGGCACCTTGTGAGGTTCTTGAGCTTTTAAAGTGATATTTTGTATGTTTTGTAAAGAAGGTGATAATTGGAGGAGCTCTTGGGAGTCCATTGCTTGTAGATCCAGATGTTGTTATTCATCTAGCTTCTTTAGAAGGTAAAAAGCTCTCACCTTGATGCTTCATTTTATAGATCTTGTTGGTTGGTGAATCCTTATGTGTTTTTGGTCCCATGGATTTGGTTATTGTGAGTATGAGCTACTCCAGAACCCGTGAGCATCTTTTTAGCCATTTCTGAGGTTAATAAGTCATAAAAATAAGATCTTGAGGGTTATAGTCCACCCATGCATGAGTTGTTGGTCATTTTGTGAAGTTATCAATCTAGGGTTTGGTTTTGGGCTCTATTAAGCCATGCAAAAGCTTAATGTTGTTAACTTTATCAATTAAGACCTTCCCAAGATTAAGATTTCTGAGTTGGACATATAGTCTTTAGGTATTAAGAGCTTAAAATAGAATTTTTGGCATCAGAGACGTACGTTGGGTGTAGCCCTAGGGTACGCATGCTGTAACGAGTTTTGCCCAATTTTCTTTTGATGGTAACTCAGTACGCATGGTGTAATTAGGGAGTACGCATGACGTACTCCCAGAGGTGCATTTTGGGCCATTTTTGGGCCTTGATCCATTTTGGGCCTTGGGCCATGTTTAGTTGGGTCTAATATGGGAAGGGTAAAATGGACTTTTACCTTAGTAAAAGAGAGTATGAAATAGACCGTTGATTATAAGTTATTATCCATGTTGGGTCTAATATGGGAAGGGTAAAATGGACTTTTATGACACGCAATGCGTATCAATAAAGCCGCTGTCAAGAAAGGCCATGTCATAAATGAAGACGACACACATTTTTGCGTATCGTAATTTTAAATTTAAAAAAAAATTATTTATAGATTTATTAATTTTCAAATTAAATTTGCATTTCATGTCTCATAATAGAAAATAAAATACCATATACAAAAAATACAATCCATTGCACAAAAGTTAATGTCATACAAATAATCATTCCAATACTAGACAAATGTAATACATCAAATGTGAAAGAGATGAAAGTCATCAACAAATAATAGTTGACCTACAAGAACTTGTTGCCCACCTTCACAACATCTGAGCTACTTTGCTTGACACTATGCACATCAACAAGACCTACAAATTTGAATAATTCAACCATTAGATTCACATAAACCAACAAATCCCAATATGTAAAAATGAGAATAACTATAATTAGTACTTACATTTACTGCTGACACGTAACAAATCACAAGCAAAAATGGTG